GACTCAGACACAAACTAATTTTAAGTGACAGTTCATCAGGGAAGTATTACATTATTTAATTACAGTCTCCTTTCCCTAAGTGCCTCTATTTCCACCCAATTGGTGGTTTAGAAATGTTTTTCTTCATTTGAAAATTATGCTTTTGGTCATGTGCAAGAGTTACTGGCAAACACCATTCATTCCATCTTAACACAAAACCACTTCTTTTCTAGTTGTCTCTCCTTTGTAGATGTCTACATTGGAAAAATATTTTTGAAGTGTTAAAGTGATGCTGCAGTGGTCATCATTATTTAGCCAACTGAGCTAGAAATACACAGCTATTTCACTAGCCATATTCCCAGAACACAATTCAGCATTACTGTGTAGCCAGTGGCAATGCTTCATTAAGCTCCCTCATTTCCAGCAGCTCCCTCCCTCCCAGTTTACTTGCAGGGCTGCGCTATAAACCAAGTCAGTGAAATGTTTCATGTCAAACCCAAAATCTCACAACATATTGCTTACTTATTACATGTTTAAATCCAAACCACTTTCCGATACAGGTCACCCGTGCTAGAAAGCTTCCCTGCCACAAGTGTGATGTTAGCAGAGGGTAGCATAAGACTGAAATGTCATAAATTAGAACTGGGAGATGGAGCTATACCCTTAATTATTTCTTCCTTGTCCCTTCCTTCTTGCTTCATTTTATTGCTTCCATTTTGGTGTAAATACTTCAAAACAAACAAACAAAAAAGTTGTGATCCTCCCTGTCCCCCTGAAACGTTCCACGTGAAGCAAGTGCCGAGCCAAGCAGATACAGCACTACAGACACTCTGCTGAAAAAGTATCCAACTTTGAGGTCCTACTAGGACTATTTACAGATACTGGACAATACCTCTAGGTCCCAAAGATAACTCCAGCTTCTAGTCCTGTGAGCATCATGCATCTTCTTGGTTAATATTGTGCCAAAGGTCTGTGGGTAAAATTTATTTAAACATACACCGCACTAAAGAGTGTTTTCCCCAGCTATATAAATTTATAAAAATAATCTTAAATAAAAAGTTACAACCGTTAAAATGGTCCTTTACCTGGTTTCATTCTAGGTCACATACAAACACTGGGAGTGTTTGTTTAAACAAACAAACAAAAAAAGCATAATTTTTTTTCCTTCCTCCCTTTTCCCTCCTCCAAACCTTATTCTGAGATGGTGGGCTAGGTTCTGATTTCAGTTACTCTGCTGTAAATCAAGATTTCACAGACTTGTCTACAAGTTACTGAGCAGGTGATTAAGGTGTGAATTCAGAGTACTTTATCTTTTCTGCATCAGCTCCCCGCGGTCATTCCTAGAGAGCAGCATAACGTGCTTTTGTGTCAGCTCACTGTCAAAGCTGAGCAAAACACACTATGTTCAGAATGTAAGAGCTCCTACAAAGGGAGCTGCAACCTGCTGCAGTGTAATGCGTTGCAAATTCATCCCCTGGCTTACTTAGGTAGAGACCAGCCCCAGGAGCTGCCACTGTGCATCTCTGCCATAATACACCACTTCTGAGCCCAGCACTTGTCAGATGCCAATCCCAGCTGAGTCTTGTTTAGAAATCCCCCCTCTAGCCCAGATTACTCTAGACACTGTGAAAAAAATATATACCTAAGACACATAGATATTACAATAGCTTGAAGTAAGGTCTGGGAACTTAAAGCCTGCAGGCTTCTTACAGCCGCAGCTTCATTTCACACGGACCACAAAAGACTTTCCCTTCCTCGTACTGGCATGTGCTAACATGCTAGCTGGGAAAGATGCTGAAGTGGCCAATATCACCGACAGCAATTACAAAGCCTTCCCACCCATGTTATAAAATTAACACAGCCCACAGTAACGCTGAAGGGGAAATATTATCATAGCAAGGTCCCCACAGCAACAACACTCTGCAAATTACAAAGACTCTGAGTCTATTGTGGAAGCACCACAAAATCTACCAAAAAGCACTAATATTTGGTAACTTCAACGTCATGACTTTTTTTTCCCCCCCTCTCATAGAATCATAGAATTGATGATTCTCTGCACATATTGCTGCTTTTCCCTTTCTTTATGCCACCTTTGCTATCTCTAACTCTTTCTGTCAGTCTTCCCTTTTGCCTTAAATCCTGCCTACACTACTAATAGAGTCATGGGATCCATTCAAATGGGATCCATTCAAAAAGATGCAGTGAGGCTGGGCCCTCACACTGTTACACTGATAACGTAGAAAAGAGATAAACACAAGAACATGGAATTGGCTTTCATAAATGGAGGCAGTTCTCACAGTACAACAGCAACCTTCAAGAAAGATGCACTTTTATTGGCTAGGATTTCAGTCAAAACTAATTTTCCTTCAAGCAAAGACACTGCTCCTCACTGAGTGATAACATCAATGCTACTTCAGACATTTCAAATTTCAGGCCTTTTTGGTGTCTTATGACTTAAGCATAAGAATTTTGAGACATAAGTGGGTAGATGTTTTTGCCCATGTTTTCATATTCAAATCAATTTAATTTTGAATTTTTCCTTCTTTAAAGGCAAGTGTACATCGTCTCATGGATCACCCCTCTGCACTGTTTTTTAGGGTATATCCATTTTTTCTATGCTTTAGCTATCAAAAAACATCACTGAAAGTAGGATTCATATCACCTAACTTCAGAGACTGTAAGAGAAGTATTTACAGCATTGGAGCTAGGCTCCCTTTGTAGACCCTGAAGAGAAACAGCCACAAGGCAAGACTGATCCCCAATATTTTAGATGCTTCCCTAGGATGAGATGAATTGCACTCTGAAAGTACTGCTTCCTCTGCCTTGACTATACTGTGCACTATAGATATCTACATTTGTTCAAATCCCTGTCTCCTTCAATATGTAGTTTTTCCTGGTCTACTAACAACCTGTCCATTTAAATTTCAAGGTCTTTGAAGCAAGGACTGCCTTCACACACATCTGCAACAAACAGGACAACAGTATCATGACTGCCTGACTGTGGCCTTTATTTGCTGCCATAGTATGAAACATCAACAACAATGGTAATGCTAATACCCTAAACAGATTAGTAATTACAGTCTAATTCTCTGGAAGCCTAGCTTTAAAAAAAAAAAAAAAAAAAAAAAAAAAAAAAAAAAAGATTTTTCACAGCCTTTGCATGCAACACAACTCTGAAAGGCCAGATATGGTGAGCAATCAAAAAGAAAGCTTTGTCCGGCTTACAAAGTCTCTCCTTGTTGTGGTTATGGACTCTGATCTGTTACAGCAGCAATAAATTTTGTTCATGGCCTTTAGCTTTTACGAAGAAGGTGAAAGAGACACAACCATCATGTTGTCTCCAGTCCTTAATTAAAAAAAAAGAAAAAAAAGAGAGAGGGGGAAAAAAAAAGAGAAGCCTTTTAACAGAGGTGGGGACAAGTGGAGTTCATCCGTAGCCAGCAAAGGCTTCTCTTGCCCTGTTTCTTGAGGCTGGGCTACACTGCCTTTCCAGGTGACCCCCTCTTTCCCAAGCCACTCTTCGCTTCAGAATTTGCAATGGAAGAGAGCTACTTCTCAGTCATGCCATACATCAAATACTGCAGGCAAAACTTGGCTGTTTGGGTGTTCTTACTAGGATCCTTCACAAACTATATATTCCCCTTGATCTCAGTCATTACAGCTACTGGGCTGGGCAATACCATGAGGAAAAAAAAGGAGATTCACTTAAATACAAGAGCTTATGGGCAGGAAGGCTGTCCTTGGGGAACTAGGTGCAGGTGGCTTTGTAGTGAAGAAGATTACAGAACTTCTTCAAGCCATCAGAGGCAGAAAGTAAAGTAGAAGAGTGCAAGTCAGACTGCTGCACTTGTGTATAAAGAAGTGCAGCTCTCAAGACTAACCTGGTGTCCTGGTTTTGGCTGGGATAGAGTTAATGTTCCTCCTAGTAGCTGGTACAGTGCTGTGTTTTGGATTTAGGGTGAGAATAATGTGTTAACACACTGATGTTTTCGTTGTTGCTAAGTAGTGCCTATACTAAGTCAAGGACTTTTCTTTTTCAGCTTCCCATGCTCTGCGAATGAGGAGGTGCACAAGAAGCTGGGAGGGGGCACAGCCAGGACAGCTGACCCAAACTGGCCGAAGGGATATTCCACGCCATATGACGTCATGCTCAGTATATAAACTGGGGGGAGTTGGCCGAGGGGCAGCGATTGCTGCTTGGGGACTGGCTGGGCATTGGTTGGCAGGCAGTGAGTGGTTGCATCACTTGTTTTTCCTGGGTTTTGCCTCTCTCTCTCTTTTTGTTGTTTTCCTTTTCATTACTTTATTATTATTATTACATTTTATTTCAAGTGTTAAACTGTTCTTATCTCAACCCACGAGTTTTCTTACTTTTGCCCTTCCGATTGTCTCCCCCATCCCACTGGGGGGGGGGGGTGGGTGTGAGCGAGTGGCTGTGTGGTGCTTGGTTGCCGACTGGGGTTAAACGACGACACCTGGAATTTGTAAAATATTATTACAACAGTTCTTCAGACCACCAGGCATTAAAACTTCTGGAAACACCTGATACTCTGTTCGCTAAGTAAAAATATAATTAATCAGATTATGTACATCTCAACCCTGACTGCACCACCTACACTTTCTTCTGTATAAAACTACTGATGCACAGTTTAAAACCCCACTGCACACAATAGTCTCTTTAGCATGCACAATTCTCACCTAAACATGACGTTATTTCACCTGTATTCAGACTGACCTCTCTTCTCAGTCCAACAGTAATATTTTCCAAATAATATTACATTCCTTTGCAGGCTCCCTCTAATTCAAGAAAACCTTCTCAAATAAAACCGATCAAGTGGGTGATTTATGTAGTTGTATAGATACAGCTTAATAAGTTTAACCAAACTGCTAGGCTACATGTAAAAACCAAATTTACATAGAACGGTTTCCTTTCACAAATGAATAAATGCTGAAAACATAATTTCAAGAAAAACTTGCAAAGGAAAAAACGGGGCGGGGGGATAGCAAAGTAAGGTAATTACCTATCTCCCTTTGGTTTTCTTTTTTGTACTGTCTTCCCTTTGGGTCGTCTTTCACTTCCTAAACAGGGGCTCCCACCAGGGCCTGTTACCCGTATTGATTCAAGGCCTTTGGAAGATTTCTTAAAAGTAAATTCCACTGGTTCTCCTTCTTTTAGGCTTCTAAATCCTTCCATGTAAAGCTTGCTCTGTAAATAGGAAAAATACTCTTGGTTACCATTGCCTTAAAAACAATATTTACATTCATAATCAACAGGACAAATTATCCTATCATTTACTGTCCTAGAATACATACAGGTTGAATAACAGTTTCCTCTGTGTGAGCTATAGCAGACGATACTACAAATTACAGTCCTGGATACACTGAAAACACTAACACTAAACAAGTGACAAGAACCTATTTTCAGTATCAACAAAACTGAAATAACATTTTCCTTTTCTGTGATGAATGCTATAGACGTAAGAAGCAGAGAAAACGCTGTATCCTTAAACCCCCTGTCTAACAGGCATCGGGAACTGAAAACGCTTTTTTAACAAAATGGCAAGAGAGCAAATGTTCACTTCAGAGCTAATTCATTTATGGTCAAAATTATAATTCATATTCCTTACATGTGGGACATGGCTCTGCTGCTCTGAAAATGAATCAAAGATACAACAAGCATGAGAGGCAGGAGGAAGGCATTCTGAACAAATTCCACTGAAATGGGCAATTCAAATATCCCTAGTGAGCTGCTAAATTTCTGTTCACTACCCCAAAATCTTACCTAGTTAGCATGATTCAGATATTTGTATTTTCATTCACAGAAAAGGAAATTATTACCATCAGGGCAAGTGAAATAAATACTGATAAATCTTTTGATATTACACTGTAGCAGCAAAATCTTGGACAAGCTGAAGTCAACTGGAGCTCACCATTGATTTTGAGGCAATGAAAATGTTCATCTCAATTCCTAATAAAATTATGTACAATAGTAAGTCTACATTCCAGGACAAATCTGATGAATCAAACTCTTAAATAAAATGATCAGCAAGTTAAGTGAGACAATTTTTTTGGGGGAAAAAGACATAATGATAGATACTGGTTGCACTAAACGTTTATTTCAGAAGTTACATATTACATAAATGAGATCAGTTGGACTCACAGAGAATATTACAAAATCTGTCAATTTCCAAACACTTGTAGTTTTTGCAGGAGAGTTATGAAACATGTTTTCTTCCTTTGCTCATGAACTCTTCATAGCAAAGAGAAAAATGTATCCTGACTGATTCTTACTCTGTTCTCCAGCATTTGCTTGGCTGAACCATGGAGTCAAGAAGGGAATCTTCACTGCAGGTGCCATCCCATTCAGTCGCATGTCAAAAAGAGCCGAGCGACACTCGACTACGTACGTCACATCTACTACCCCGCAAGTGCAACTAGGGAACGTGTTCAAATCGGATGGCAATCCCTGACACGGGCTCCCTGTATTCATGTTGTGGGTATTGGAGGTCTGCAGCACCAAGACACTATTTTAGCAGAGCACAAGAACTGACACCTACAGAGTTCATAGTTCATAAACAAAGAAGGAGCTGGTCTCTTCACAAGGATGCACAGAGAACAGGAGGCAACAGGCCTGAGCTGCTTCAGGGGAGACTCCATCCAGACATGAGGAGAAGTTGCTCACTATGAGAAGAATTAAACGGAGAAGCCCAGAGAAGTAGTTCCCTTTGCTAGAAATAGCTAAGACTCAGCTTAATAGGGCACTGAATAACTTAATCCAAGGCCCTGCTTTCAGCAAAAGGTTGGACCAGATGATCTCAAGAGGTCTCTTCCAACCTAGACTTTTCTGTGATTCAGATATCTTAATCCGGAGCTGAATCACACCCGGTGAGACTGGAAAACAGGATTCCAGTTCCTGGTTCTGCAGCAGTTACCTTGGGGAACCTGTGTCACTTAACTTCTCCCTGTCTTTCTAAAGAGGGACACCACTACAATGTCCATTTCCCACAGCACTAATAGACTAAGTTAAAAATTATAAAATAATTGGGAATATTTATTTTAATGAAACCATGTGAAAGCACACGCACCTTTGCTTCCAAAAACCCCAAGTACCGGACCAGCTGAGTTCTCACAGTCCACCCAGCAGCAACCATTCATAACGCAACAAGACACTACCGATGCCAGTCTGACAGAGGGACTCAGTTGCTTATAATTTTTCTAGCAGCCAAAAATAAGCAAGAATACAGCTCCACTGGTTAGGACAAAGGCTGTTTTTGCTTATCCAGTTGTGCAGCTCTAGTACACGTGGCTCTTCCACCAAATGTTGTAACGTTTGAAGCATGAGACAAATAGTTGACTTTCTAGGTGAGAGGTTGAACACTATTTAAAAAGCGG